TGAAATGTTTTTTTATGTTGATCATTAGATTACGTCGAATTTTAGTTTGCGGATTACTTGAAAGAATAAATAAGATTTCTGTGAGTATGTGTGTTTCTTTCGGTGCGTGTGTGTGCATGTACAAGTAAAAGAGAACGAATGAAACTGACTGCATAACTTCAGCAAATTTAAAGTTTGCTTTATGATAATTACTTCTCAGCGGTTCGATCTTCCGATAATTTCCTCGTGAGAATTAAAAAAAAAAGAATTTTAAACATTTATTGAGTTCTGGTTGAAGGATTTGTGAATTTTATTCCAACGCGAAAAACGGGATTATCTTTCGAGGATCTGTTTAACTCTACAAGTATTGCGCTGACTTTCAAATATTTAGTTCCGTTTGCCAAAGTGGGAATGCATTAACACTATTTTCCTTTCTCTGATAAATTCGGGTAAATCTAGATATAATGTCTATAGCAGATGTGTTTTTCAATGAAGAGATTATTCTGGTTTTGCTTTTACTTGCGATCATTGTAACCGTTTAGTAAAAGTTCTGTTTTTAGAATTGTTATAAAAGATTCAAATATTTCTTTTATAATAGAAGACAGATTGTAATGGGTTAGAGTTCGCTTCTAGCTTCATTTCAATTAATTCATTTTTGAACAAGAAACTACAATGTTTTGTCATTTTTTTTGTGTGTGTGAAAGAACAAAATAATGAGATAGGATGATAATGGTTTCCTTCAAGAAGAAACAACATGTAATAGTTGCACAGGTCATGACATACCCTCTCGATATCCACTTCTGATTCCAGTATCAGACGGCTGGTGGAAGATCAATTGTGGCGAATGCCCAGGCCAAAGAATGGTTTGAATTCAGAATTTTCCTTCACTTAGACTGGCTACAACCTAAAGCAAGACAGTCCAGTCTGTCCTGTTATCTAACTTATAACTAGAAGATGGATCGGTGCCTTTACGAAGGCCATTAGTGCTACCCTAGTGCAACGGATCTGTTTAGAATTTGAACCCAGCTCACCGATTCTACCTACCGCGCTGATAACCGTTCCACTGGCCACACACACACACACACACACACACATACACACACACAAAACACACACACACACACAAAACACACACACACGCAAAACACTTACACACATTTAATGATATAAATGATATCGACTTTAGCAATGATCAAGTTTCTCTAAAATTTCGGCTTTGCTCAAGTGTTGATTCCCCAAGCCAAGATTAACACATTACAGTCAGTCTTATATTGTAAAAGAAATATGATTCTTTTATAACAATTCGAAAAATCTGAACCACAATCAAAAAGACACAGCTGACATTTCTAGGGCACATAATGAAGAAAGAGGGCTAGGAAAATTTGACACTCACAGGACATATTGAAGGCAAGAGAGACAAAGAAAAGCAGCGCACGACCTACCTAACGAGTTTGGGTAAATAATTGGCAGAACAGCGATTAGGAATGATAGCAAAAAGACAAACTTTACCAAAGGGCTACAAAAGGCAGGAAATTGTGGAGGGCCATGATGGTCAATGTCCTGAAAGGACACGCCATACAGAAGAAGGTCAAGAAATAAAAATGTATCATACAATCAAACTATATATTTAACAGGAAAAAATGTTACGTTTATTTTTCTTAGAGTTTTGCAATTTAAGCATTTAATGTCCTTCACAAAGATCAATGATCGAACACTTTATATATACAATATATGGACTTTCAACAAGAGAAGCTGTTTGAAGATTTTGTTTTAAAGAATTAAAATTTACTTTATATTTGTGATTAACAAATTTTATCGATTTCGCAATGAGGATGAATTCAAGTACGACATTTTGGTCTTTCTTCTTGCAAGTATTGATGTTTTGTTCCGCTTATTTTTTTATTTATTGTTATGTTCTTCGTTTTATATACAGAAATAATAATTCATTATTTCCTTAGTGGATATCTTGACTAAGATGAAATATCGCGTTGAAAAACAAAAAAAGAAGAGAAAGAAAAATTGTAACGCAAGTTTTACACCGGTTAGTGTACTAGTTGCACATGACATTGGATGTGAGTATGAACCTCACCGAGTGCTCTATAAATGCGAGATCGTTCAAAAATTGTCAGCGTTCGACGTAGAATATTTTAATTGATATATGCCAAATAATTGATTTACAGTCATTACATTCATAAACGTTTTTTTTTGTAGTGTTTTTTTTCTGTGTGATAAGTTTTTTTTTTCATAAAAATATTAAATCTTTTATTGGAGTGGAAGAAAAAGAATTTAAAGAATTTTTACTGTATGTATATTTCTTGCAGTTGTTATATCATTTTCGTGTCGCAGATTTTACAAGTACAATACTAAAATTAACTAACGTTGGAAACGAAGCGAACCAAGATAGTGCAAACTCAGACCGAACCAGAACCTGCTGGTTAAAAAAAAAATGAATTAGTTTAGTAAATGTTGTTCTTGTTCTTCTTTTGTTGTCTGTTTAGTACAATCCCTTACCACGTCATTAGCCGAGACCAAAGATAAGGGAATAGCAAATATAAGCGTTCTGATGTTAAGTGATACTTAACATGTACAGTGTTCCTGGACGTTGATAATACACTCCTGAATAGATGAGCTGTTTCACAGAGGGACAGTTTTCCGAATTTTAAATTATAAACCAAGGCTACCAGGGATTTTATTAATGTTCCTCTTTCCACCTTTTATTATTATTATTATTATTATTATTATTATTATTATTATTATTATTATTATTATTATTATTACTACTACCGACTGAGAGAGCAGCACGCTAACAAAGTGACTATCATGAAGCATAACGTTCTAGGTGGAGTCCTGTTAAAAAACACTGGGTACTTCCTTCCAGTAAGACGGTCTTTGATTGAGGGCTTTCCCAAGTATCTAGATATGACTCCCAAGTCGCCTTGGTTGCCTCATCTTTCAAACATAAAAATGCAACAACCCTCTCAACACCCGGCCAATATGCTTTCCTGCTAAACCCAGCTAAGAACAATGATACACAGTAGATCAGCATATATTATTATTATTATTATTATTATTAATAATAATAACAATGGAGGCATGCTGCATTGCGGTTCTGATTGGAATCGGAGAACCAAATTTGAATTCCAGTCGAGTTCATTACATTCACTTATGTGCTAATACTCTTGTGAAAGGTATGAATCCAGCGTTTCTCCTCCCAGCTATGTGTAAATAGCGGGACAGACTGGGTTCTATAGCCTTGGATGGCAACCGGTCTAGGGGAAGGAAAAAAACTATGAATTCAAAAAGCTCCATCTATGGAGCAGTCTGTGCTCTGTTGCCATGGTTGGCAACTACACTAGGAGAATAACAAATCTGAAATCAAATCCGGAGTCGGAGTCCCTAAGACGGTCCAATGTTCAATTTCGTTCTGGCAACTCCTACGTTGACGCGGGTGCAAAACTGTATTGACCTTTTGTCTTTCCCTTGGAGAAGAGAAATGTGCTGCATGGGTAATTGCCGATCTCTCGTACAAACCCTGCTCATGACTGCGCCCTGGTGGGGGGGGCATAATTGTTCGGGCGCAGGTCCATGGTCCCCCAAAACCGACGGATGCCATGCCATATTATTAACAAACCTGTTGTTTATCTCATGGTTATTGAATGATAGGCTCTTTCTTAATAGATCACTATTGCTGGATTATTTTTATTATTATTTCATTTGACAGTAGTATCCCTGTTTTATGTCAAGTCACTCTACGAGTGGTACCATATAACCCAATGTCATCTGCCGCCACATGGTCGGTTCATCAGCGAATTAACAAGTTCCCTCACCAGGCTTTTTATAGTGAGGAGTGTAGCTAGACACCGAGCAGGATTAATAATCAAGACCCTGGCTATGTATGCAGTTGGGCGGAAGTCTTCCTAGACTGAAGTCAACGGCCTGGGCGAAGGGTTCTCTTGATACAACCAACGGCCATGTTACAGTGATCAAGGCGAACCTTCAATTGGGCGTGGTCTGACCTGGGGAGGGAGGCTCTCCCGCTGAATGTACTTTGCCCAAGGCAACGCTATGCATAAATGAATACCTCTCCAGCTTTCAATCCAGGTGGGGAACTGGTCATGCTCACCCGGTCATGGGACTGATAATGATGATGATGACGTGGTCACCATTATAATTGCCAACATCAGTTCTGTTGCTATTAAATGCAACACAAATACAGTCTTATTTATTCGTTATTAATAAAATCTGCCACAAGGTCATAGAATTTTAGAAGCGGTCGGCTGGGTGTTAGTTCACAACTGCCCACTTGATAGAATAATATTCGAACATCTATGCTATGAGCAATTGCCTTTAAACTCTATATCGTAATTTATTATTATTATTATTGTTGTTATTATTATTATTGGTCTTGTTGTTGTTGCTGTTGTTCTTTTTCACGTGTAATAGTTTCATAGCTGCTCTACTCGGACGGTTTCTCTTGAAGATCTATTATTCAACAGTAATTCTGCGGCAATGTTGTATTTATTCTACATAGCTTTAAAAAAA